GTTACACATAATGATGTAAATATCATTACAGAAATAACAAACGTGTGAACAGGATGGATAGTGATTATACAGGACGAAGGCAATACTTTTACCTTTGTTAGGGGTCACTGAGATGATTGTAAGGTTCCTAATATCCCAATTAATAACTCTATGGAATATGTCTGGCAATCCTTCATTACCACATATCCTTACAACCAATTTTTAAGACCTGCTAGGTATGCATACATTCATATCTGGCTGAATTACATGCAATATGGACAACGAAAGGAATTCAGCTTCGTTCAAAATATATAGATCTATCCAAATAGACATGCATTATGAATTTTTACATTTGGTGTTCACATTTGAAAAGATTTTGTGAGCTCACGATGCTACTTTCGTTTTGTAGGTTAAAGTGAAATTATTAAAAGTCTTTTATCAATTCTAGGCTAGAACTATTTTTTTGTTATTTTATCTATGTTAACATACTCGTACATCTACAACACACATGTCCAAGTATGTGTACACTATTACAGAATACTTTTTATTTATTGTTTTTAGCTTTTCATACATTTATAAGGCGACCAATATGAGGTACGATTTAAACATGTGTAGAATTTGTTCAACTTGTTCAACTAGATGACTATTGCTTAGATTGAAATGCGCTTATATTATGAAACTAAATTAAAACTTCGAGGCCCTGGTCTTCAAAAATGCAAGCAACCAACGATCAATCATATTTCCATATATAAGGGTCAGATTATGAATAGGTTCCATTCAAAACTTAAAACACATGTACATAAGATTTATATGAATATTCCATACTTTTTTCAAAGAACTACTTCCACTTCTGCTGTGCTACCACATACAGAAATGTTTTAAACTTCAAGTGAATCAATGCGCGCGTTCCGCTAATGCAAAGCGACCCAGCAGTACAGTGCCTTTATGTTGAGTATCCCTAGAATGGCTTTGAAGTTCATAACATTTAATCAACAAACTATCAAATCAAAAGAGCTGGACAGCTTTACGTTCACTAAGCCCGCCCAACGTATTTTCTTGAACTGAAAATCGCCTTGCAGTGCGATGCGATTCCGTATAGCTGCGCGTGGCAGCATATGGTATAGGCATGAGGTTTCCTTTAAGATTCCTCCTTAAATATGTATTTATATATATACAATGACCCAAACACATTCTATAATGCCAAATAAGTTTAGGTCATCAGTGATATAAGTTGTAGATTCCTTGAATCTGCAGGTACAAAATTTCTTTAGCAGGAACCGTTTTTGATGGAAATGGAATGTAAGAACTGTTTTTAAAAAATTAGTATGTCTTCCCGAATTCTGAAAAATAGACACAGAAAGAAGTCAACAATCTGAAACGCGTGACGTGAGGGCTATTTGTGACAGTTCCCCTATAATTTATTCAAAACCGTGTAATTCCAGCTCACTCTGGAACATCAATATTCTCGCATCTGCATTTTTATGCCTTTCGGCGTCTGCTTGACGGGGTTCCATTTCTAGCTTTACATGACTCCCAGATGTTTCTACTCCATAAAATATTCAACACGATATTTAAATCTTCGTTTTGCACACAAAAATGTTGCTCATTGTCCAAGTATAATAAATTCTGTTGCAGATATTTTGGATCTGATCTACTGTGCAACAAAAAAAAGATGTGGAGTATGTTAACTAAGTACCTTCCTAATTTTCGGTTTGCCTTTGCATAACAAATTCTCGAATATATTTTATACCGGCACAAACTGGTTGGTGGATTCGAAAGACATAAAAAATAGAATTTCGAGAGTATTAGGAACTGAGGAAATGAAATTTGAATGATGATTAAGTTTTTAAGCCAATTGTTTCTTTTGCTTAACCATATAGTGACTAAAGAGTAGACGTTGACGAAAAGTCTGAGGTGTTATTAAAATGATAACTACCTTCAAAACTTATCAGAAACTTTGTAAGTCATCATATATAATGAAGTTCGAGGATGTTTTGGAGTTTTTAGTTTGTCGACCATAACATCGAAGCCTCAGCAGCAACTTTCTCTTCCTTGGCCAAACTCCGATTGACACTTACGATGTTTAGGGAAATCAATGAGTATTAGTTTTTAAAGAATATTCCTTTGTAAACAAAGCGATTGTCAGAAACCTGATAGGTGATAGTACCTTACTTTCATGTTTTCAATAAAATCTGAGCAGTACGTTCTGACCTCTAGACGATGGCAGACAGGCATATAGACGTAAATGAGTTTAGTCTCTTGTGATGTCGTTACGTCATATACACAGAATACAATACATCAAAACTGAAACCTTCATAATTGATGTGAGAAGTGCGGAAATTAAGCACAGCTTATAGTTTTAGTAACAAAATCAAAATTCAAATATTGTCATATCAAATGAGTTCACGGAAACCCTTACAGAAAAAAATTCCTGTTAATATCTTGGACGACTTGAGGAAGCTTGGAGGCTTCGCACCCTACTGAGCGGGGCCGTGGCAAATGCTTGTTCCGGAAGTTGTTGTATCCAGTATACAACTTCTTTCCGATCAAGTGATTGTTCACGCGTTAAGGGTAGCGGTACAAGACCGCCAATAGGCCACTTTAGGTCTATTTAGCATCATTAACACGCAGAATGAAGGTGGTAGACAAGGACCAGTCGACCGAGGCGGTACCACCCGCTAGATTTTCCCAGGGTGTCTTATAAATGTCGGCATGTTTCCACACCTAAGCTACGCAGTCTGTTATCTTCCCCAACAAAGAAATTAATGATGACGGATCCCTCGAGAACTGAGAATTCTGGACGTAAACTCACTTTACTCTCGGGTGGATGGTGGACTCGAGGGAACAACATCGAAGAAAAAATTTTATTCACGAACATCTGCGGGGGGATTAACAGCAACATTGAAGCTGTTCATCACTACTTGTAATCGTCTCGCCATGGCAAACACAAGAATCTCATAGTCAGCACCGATTAACCATCTTAGCTTTCCAAATTACGAGGTGCACTCCAATCGGAGAAAGAACGAGGGAGTTGTGGCTTTTGTTCGCCGCGGTCTATCCTGCTCCAGAGATGTTTCTTTAAAATCAGACTGGAAGGACATTCTGTGGGTTCGCCTCAACTCCAAAACATCCCCCAAATTTATTTGCTGCCTTTATCGCTCTCCCTCGAACCATAACTGGGATGACCTACTCGAATACCTCGCCGTCAAGATCGACTTCCTGTACATCAATCACCACGCTTCAGAGGTAGTTCTCTTCGGTGATTTCAATGCTCACAATGAACTTTGGTTGGGCTCAAACAAGATCGATGCAGCAGGTCGCGAAGTGTTCGCTCTTACTCAAGGGGTGACCCAGCTGGTGACGAGCCCCACTTTTTCCCCCTCGTCTCGTCACATCTAGCCTGCTGGGGCAGCAGAAACTCGCACAGGCCGCAAAATTTGGCATTACGGACGTGCCGATTGTCAGGGGCTCAGAGACTTCTTCTCAACCTTTCCTTGGAGAGATGTTTGTTTCACTGAGGAGGATGCGTCGAGTGCCTGTTCTTCGATAACCGAAATTTTCCACGTCGGAATATATCCCTCATACAGTAAAAGTGCCTAAACCAGGGTCCAACGGATGGTTCAACAGAACGTGTGTCAGTGCTCGCCAGCAGAAGATCACGGCACACAGAACCTTCTAACAAAACCCCAATGTAGACCACATCTCCATGCTGCTGGGAATATGATTTTTTGGTGATGGAAAAGTATAGCTTGTTTCAGAGTTTTTGGTGGTTACGCCATCAATGCTATACGAAATGTAAGAAACAGCTACTTCCTAAATTAATTTTTGGATTAATTTAAAATAACCCAATACCAGTTAACTATAGCAAGGCATCCCTTTAACCGGCGCACTTCACCCTCTTTGCTCTTCCCGCTTCCTTCCTTTCTTTCTTCTTCCTTTCTTTCTCACTGACTTCGACTGGTATCTGGGCAACCAGACCTGACAGATCTACTGACGTACGATACTTTAACAAAGAGCGAAGGTCCCACGGATCGCTCTGATGGACAATGATGAATAGAAAGCAACAGCTACTGACTGAACCATGTGCGTAGCTGCCGCTCGATAGGAAGATTATACACTGTGCAAAGCGGTCTTGAACGCAGATGCTCTTGCACACATAAGTTGATTAACACAGGACATTTTACTTTCATTTACTTTCTCAAAATACTCCAATAATTTTGGCAAAACTATCAATATCGTCCATAAGTTATATTTTCAGGAACTACTGTATTTTAAACTAAGAAGATCATGGAAAGGTAATCAAAAAATAGTACGCCAATGCCAAGATGGCTGTCGCTCTGACAAAGACAATCATAGATTAGGAATATTCATAAATTAGCGAGAAAGTTTTCGAGGTGGCGAGACGAAGTTAAAGAGCATAACTGCTTGAGCTTACACAAACAAAAATTCGCGCACTGAGGTAAATTGCATATGTATGTGTGAAGGAGATGGATGTATAAAATTGATGCCAAGAGTTTTACTGTAACCCGCCAAAAATCTTTGAATAAGCTATAGGTACTATTGTAATCAAGATATGTTTGTACATTGGCCAGTGACCTGTCGATGACTGAGTCTGGAATCCGGCCGTGTTAATTCAAAACAAGGTTAGAGCTAAGCTTACTAGCATCACAGCGATAAAAAAACCCTTGCAGTTTTTGAAGACTGGTCTAGTGGCGGCATGCGGAGCTACGACCAGAATACGAACAAGCACGAGAGACTGAAAATTCGGCGTTCACTTTTGCCATCACTAAAAATGTTCTATAATAATTGGAAATCCTGTGTCCTATTGTATTATCTATGGTAAATACAAAAAGATTCTGGGTGGAAATGATCCCAGAATTTTTGCGTACCTAAAATTTTATTTCGATTTTTATTCGAACCTAAAGCGTGTTTACTTGTGGACTAGAGTGGCCATCTTCCAATTATATTTTGCTTTGTTTGTGTCCGAATTTTTCAGTGGATACATTTTGTCTCTTTTACAGGCAAGAGCTTTACCCTGAGCATAATCGTATCAACGACGCCGCCTCAAGTAGCAACTTACAGCAAAGCTATCAAGGTTACTGTGGATGGACCGCGGGAGCCAAGATCTAAGACCCGTCAGCAAGGTTTTCATCATTTCCCTTTTGGACCAAGGCACTTCACACCCGACCCCTTAGCAGGGAGTTTACCTTTCAAGCTAACCGGTAAGTTGTCTTTTATTTTAGGACATCGACAGTGTGTTTAGTTAAGTGAGATGATTGCTGTATTGTGACCGAAGACTGATATACTAGTATTACGTAGTACATATATTAAAATATTCATTAAAGTTGTGAAAAATTACACTTTATGCCGGTAGCAGATTTAGAAGTATGTCTAAGGAAGGACACTGTGATTCATGTTCAGGAAGATTATCGTCTAGAAACTTAAGCTCCTGATTGCGAATACCCTTGTGACAACTGAAGAGCGGGGGTTGGGTTATATATAGGGAGGGTATGTCTCCATGATTTAGGTCTACCAAGGCAATTTTAGATGTATCTTAAAATTAAAAATGGAGGGGGCGCCGCCTTTAAATCCATCAATGCATTTAACTTCCAATATGATACTTAACATTAATATTGTGTAGCTGAAGTGAGAACTAGGCATAAAAGTTTGAGAGCTACATTCCTATTTACTTATGTTTTATAATAGCTATTGAATTCGTCAATTTGAACTTATGGTCTACTTTGCAATTCAAAAAACCTTGTTTCCGCAAGATTAGTACTAATAATAAAAAACTTACAGGTATTTCAGTATTTGCTGTCAGTTGTCATAATGATTTTAATATACAGTGCATTTCAAGAAGATCCTCCACCTGCTTATTTTTTAATGGTTAAAGATGTCAAGCTGAAATTGATGGATAACTACTATATTTAGGCCTAAAAGTGACAGATGAAAATTCTCAGATGACAGACAGATGGACGTCATTTGAGAACAATTTTTCAAATGGAGTGCTTTATAACTCTTGAATTTAAAAAATGGAGAACTGGCAGGCTGTCAAATTTGGTCGTTTTTGTACTTTGAGTTACAACCAGTCCTCAAAACACTATAGTATCTTACATCCATCTTTTTCCCTTGAAAGGGTATATACAGAGAAGTCCAAATATCACTAACATAATAATGTCAGTGGTATATGGTTTTCACTGTATCTATAATTATAATTTATTTCAAATTTATTTTAAATTTATTTTAAGAAACTTGTGTTTAGTTATTGGAATGTACCATTCTGTTGAAAAAATGTTACAAGATGATGGCCTTTAGGTATGTCAAAATATAGTATCCATGTGTCAATTACATCATCCCTAATTTCAGTTTGCTAACTTGACTCTTCCAAAAAATAAGTTTGGAAGGATCTTCCTGAATGAATAACTCTATCAAGAAATTTGAGAACACAATATTGAGTATCATTTCCATAACAGAGATTATTCCAAAATGACATTTCCCATGGAGTTGGTCTGTGCTCATCCTGTATAACGGTTGGCTTTTTATATCCAATATAACTATACCTATAGGTACAAACTGTTGTTATACCGCCTTTGATATATTACGAACGAATATTATATTTTCATTAAAAATGCGTATTTACCTTTGACAAGGGGTCAGAATTCTTGTTCAAAAAATATACAGGTAATATAGGGAAAAGAAAAAAAAGAGCTATAATTTAGTTTCATTGTTTTGAGAAAACAATTTCATGTACTAGTCTTGTTGAAAAATTTAGTTTCTCAATTTCGATCATACTACTAGTCAAGTAAAAATTGTGAATGGCATATCACTTTGTTCGAAGCACTATATAAAAACTGATGAGCTAGTTCACCGAAAACTACCGAGATGATAGACACAGCTGAGTGCATATTCAGAATTTGCTGTTGATACAGTTAAATAAGGCAGATGGACACTCCTTCTCCACAGTTCTTGCTAATACCACTTTCTTAATACAACAGAATATAGCTAAAAATACTCCCATCAGGTTTTTCCCAAACCAGCCATCCTTATAATAATAATAAAATCATATTACATATACAAGTTTCAACGAACGTTTGATATGTCCCATAATATTTTCATGGGATCTTTCGATATCAATATTTGAAAAACATATCGTGTGAAATTTGCTTTAAAACGTTACCATGACATCAGAAGAAAATCCATGTCTGGTGTTTCAGGTTTCTAATGATAATAATGATGAACGGTTTGTTGCTCAACAGGTGCGCAATGCAGATTCAGAACAATATTACCATAATAACTTACTTGTTATTAAGTTATATGTATATATATAAAAGTTGGGAAAATTCATAGCTGGACAGTTTATCATAATGCAAGAAATGCTTTTCTTTTGAATAACAAGAAAATGCAAAGAACGACCTGCAAGCTTTACAGTGGAGAACTGGCCACATCTTTAAAGATCATATTCTATACAGGGTGGCCCATCCATGTGAGGACAGAATATTAATCATAAACTAATACATTTTGGGAAAATCTATACATGAAATTTGAACGCACATTTCTAAAATATTGGCCATTATACAGGGTGTGTCAATATCGCCCTACATATCAAAGTTGTGATTTTTCAAATGGAATGCCTCAAATTTTATTGCATATTTGGATAAACAAATTCAAAAGAAGAAAATTGATATATACATATTATGGAGTTTTGATAATTAGCTACTGAGATATAAGGTGTTTTGTCTAGAAAAACTCCCCATTTCGGCAACCCCTCAGTCCGCCATCTTGAAATCTGGAGTGCTGAATTTTGTATAGAAAAAACTTACATACCTCAGCTTTTATCTTATTTGTTACTTTTTTTAATTATAATTTTTTGCTCATGCAGGGTGGTCAAAAACGCAAATTGTAGTTTTTCTCAAAAATCTCAAATGCTTCACCCTGTATATTTGTACAAGTTTGAATTCAATTTTTTATAAGCTTTTTTTTGATACTAGATACATAAAGGTTTTTACGGCTATTTTTTCGGTAATTAGCATGCTTTTTATGTAACGGCTTAATTCCCTAAAATATCGCATCATCAACAAATAAATTGTGAGCATTATAATAAAAATGTGTTTGAAAATGAATTTTTCTAAAGAAGAAATGGTGAAGCCCAAAGAAATAGATTCCTGGCATCTCGCATTTATAACCAACGGTATACTAATATGCGACATCCAAGACCGGAAACATTTTCCACACTACGAGAATGTTTTGAATATGATGGAATATAGTAAAAAATGTATAAATAATCCAGGTGTCACCAATGAGGCGAATCAGTTGGAGCTTCTGTTAAAGTTGCAGCAAATACCCCATTTAAGTGCACGGCAAATTGGAGCAGAAGCTCATATATGCAGAACTTCTGTCCAAAGGATTAGTCACAAGTATAGGTACCATCCATATCACCTATACTTGCATCAAGGTCTTCGTCCTCAGGATTTCGCAGCTCGAATGGAGTTTATTAGAATAATGCTAAATAAAGTGAGTGAAGACACTACTTTCCTGGATAAGGTTTCTTTTAGCGATGAGGCAACTTTTAACAGCATAGGTGTTGTCAGCAGGCATAACATGCACTATTATGCGACGGAAAACCCTTACTGGGTTAGGCAAATAGATTTCCAAAATAAATGGAGCTTGAATGTTTGGGGAGGAGTTATTGGCAGACAAGTTATCGGACCTTTCTTTTTAGACAGCAGATTAACAGGTACAGAATACTGTGATCGAACATTTGCCTTTGCTCTTGGAGGATGTCAACCTGCAAACTTGGATGCATATGTACTTCCAACATGACGGCGCACCTACGCATTATCATAATCGTGTGCGTAACTATTTGGTCACCTGGAGTAACAATCGTTGGATTGGTCGTGATGGGCCTATATCTTGGCCTCCTAGATCACCAGATATGACACCGATGAAGGAAAGGATTAAGAATGCTTTTCTTAACATAAGTGAACACATGCTGAGTGATGTGCAACGGTCATGTATATAAAGGCTACGGCTGTGTATTCAACATGGTGGCGATATTCTCGAGCAGTTTTTGTAGATTAGGTCTTGAGTAGTGATAGTTGTTTATGTTGCTGTTATAGTTGTTTTTCTCTATTTCGCTTGAAGCTGATTTATACTGTTATGATTGTTATTAGTTTTTACGTCAAATCTGTACTCTTAGTGGCAATATGGAACTAGCCCACTGTTTGTCTTTTGTTTCCATGAATGATGTGATTTTTTTCCTTAATTTGGGCGTGTTGTTCTATTAAAAGCTTAATAACTCAAAATCTAGTGATTTTCTCTGAATCAAACCTTATACCAAAAACGCTTATAAAAAATTGAATCCATTACTTGCACAAATATACAGGGTGATGCATTTGAAATTGTTAAGAAAAAGTACAATTCGCGCTTTTGACCGCCCTGTATGAGCAAAAATGAAAATTCGAAAAAGTGACAAATAAGATAAAAAGTGACTTGTGTAAGTCTTTTTCGATATAAAATTCAGCACTCCAAATTTCGAAATGGCAGATTGAGGGGTTGCCGAAGTGGACGGTTTTTTCTGGACAAAACACTTTACATCTCAGTAGCGAATTACCAAAACCCCATAGTATGTTATATCAATCTTCTTCTTTTGAATTGGTTTATCCAAATATGTAATGAAATTTGAGCCATTCCATTTGAAAAATCACAACTTTGATATGTAGGTCATATTGGGACACCCTGTATAATTGGATATATCATTGAAATGTGCCCTCAATTGTCATGTATTCAACTTTCCGAAAATGTATTTGTTTATGAGTAATATTCCGTCCACACATGGATGAGCCATCCTGTATACAGGGTCCAATAAGAACCACGGCAAACTTAAGGAGAAGGTGGGCTTTGGACTGACCCCCCAAATAACAAAAACTTACCTATATAAAAGTGTCACAGTTTTTGAGATATCGAATTTTGTCTTAAATTTAAAAAAAACGAACCTTTTCATCTGTGGTCTTTAGCTGCATGTACAAATAAGGTTATACGTTGTTTATTTTTTTTATAAAATACTTCTTGGGATTTATGACCTTCTGATATTGTTTCCTCGACTTTAAAATCATATCAGAGCTGGTAATAATAATGTAGCTTAATTTAGCATGTCACTAATCGGTACCCAGTGCAACTTGAATTTAAATCCAATAAATACATTGTAGTGTGTGTCAGTCACTTACAAAAGCAGCTCTCAATTTTTTTATATTCCAAATAGTACAT